CTACTTAACTCTTTTTACACACCCGCCTTGAAAAACCTTTGCCACCAATACTTCTAATTAAGCGACTAGTTTTAGACCTGTGCCAAGCATAGCTTCATTTTCCATGTACGTATTTTCTCTCCTTTAAGGTCAGGTTGTGATCCTAGTGCAACCAAAAGCATCTGGAGCAGGCTATATGGTTCTTGGTGTTGGAAAAGTGGTTACATTACAAGGTAAAACTGGTGGTTTTCTCCCCCATGATGTAGTTCATGTAGTCCGTGGAGTGTTTGTCGAAGTTCAATAAGATCCTCCCTAAGTTTTCTGTTCAGTGTTGAGGACATTGTGAGGTGCTGTGGTTTCCTCCATTTGAGGTGGAATGCTATGCAAAGTCAATTGCATATATTAACACCTTAAAACACCCTGAGGATATGTTAATTATAAATATATAGGACCACGTTGTGCCCACCCCTTGCACTCTACTCTAGGCCGCCGTTTTGAATAAGATCTAGCTGCTTAGCTGGCACTTCAAAACCCTTTTCCTCGCTTCATGGATGAACAAGTGCCTGCCCCTCTGGCGCCAAACCAAGTGCTAGATGTTGTAAATAGCGCTCCCTCTCCAGCAGTACCAGCTCCAGTGTTACCAGTTCTGGAGCCGGTCCTTGCAGTTCCATTAGCTCAAGTAGAAAACCCACTTCCTGATGCAGCTGACAACGTTTCCCAGAAGGTAGCGCCTGAGATAATCCCTAGCCTGTTTTTAGTTGGGGTTAAGTACACGTATTCTTCGTAGTCACTTAGCAGAAGTGACTTTATTTCGGCCGTCACAGTTGGTTTCGCCTCAGCTCTCATGGCAGTAGTAGTTTCTGTCATGTTCAGGTTTGTTCTAACCTTTGCAGGTCGCTAGCGTTATATTGCCTATGGTGTTTGTAACTCAGTGTTATTGTAATTTCATATTTGCTTTTCCCCTTTTTGTCTTCATTGTCAACTCTTTAATTCGTCGTTTTTTATTACCGGTTCTGTTATTTATATCCACTTTTATTCAGTCGGTTGTCTCTACACCTTGTAAAAGACCTGTGTGACCTTAAAGCATTCAATAACCCCTTTGGGGAAGATAGTCCTGTGTGGCAAATGAGGAATGCAATATTTTGACCTTGGTATCTTAGAATAAACGTGCAAGTGCTGTTAAAGTCTCCAAACGTCTGTAAGGGCCAGGTTCCGTATGGTCTATCTGATCTCCAAGGAGAGGAACCACTAGAATGCAGAATTCTATAGCTCTGTATTTCAAGGAATGTCCCAGAAAGCTGCTATCCCAGATGATGACTTTAAAGAATACCTGGACGTCCTCCTCGGAAACAAGGATAATGAAAAGGTTATGGAGCTTATGTCTAAGGCTGAGACGGCAATGCGAAATTCAAGGCCAAAGCCGAGGGATAATGGGCATCCCTGCTATAGCTGTGGCGGCTATGGCCATTTCCAAGCGACCTGTTAACTTAAGGCATCACGAGTGGAGCCCCTCTTTTCGACAGCCAAACTCTTCTCCCTACAAAAGCGGGCAGTCAGAATGGCAGGGGTCTGCTATAGTTGGATGGCTATTAAGAAAATGACTAATTGTTGTACATAAAGGTTATTGATTTGTAGAATAAGGATACTTTGCATAGATACCTGTAAGTGATTTGCTATAATCACGTTATTTTTCGTTGCATTACATCTACGTCGCAGTTATGTAACACAGTTATTAACACAGATATTATCGTGGACAATCGTATACTTGGGAGAGACGTCTTATTTGGAAGAAAGAAAGATGCGTTTATTTTAGAGTTTTAAAGAGTTTGGATAGGAAAAAGAGGTACGTTTTCATTATCCTTTACTTACACATGTCATGCTGTTTGATTGTACTCCGAATTATGCTGCTGATTATCCTTAAACCTTTTACGCCTCGAATTGTATATTTTATTTTGGGTTCCGCCCCCATATTTCGTTTCTAGATAAATTTTTGTTAGTTACAGATATTTCGCTGTATTGTTATTTCAGTTTTTACGTGATTCAGAGCCACATCGTTAAATAATTATAAAAGAGTAGACTGGCTTTTGGTTCAAATCGTAGTAAAGGCTCTCATCCTTGCGTGGTCAGAGAGTGAATTTGTGCTTGTATCAATCGACTCACCTCCGCCCCCGCTACAATACCTCTGCTTTATTTCATTTAGGACTGTAGTCAAGGGGTATCTGAATCTGGGCAATTCTCAGTCCAACATGTCTAGCTCCAGAGGCTACTATGCCTTTTTTCTTTTTGAAGAGACTAAGTATAGTAGAGTTCCTATACCGTATTCGCCACGAAGACTAGTTTCTTGGCCCTGAATTGTTATTCAAGGTGGCCTAGCCCCAGTTCTACAGCCTTTAGACAAGTGCCTAAACAAGTCCTTCCAGGAGAATATGAAAAGAAAGTACCTGTCATGGATGATAAGGGGGGCATTCACGTTTACTGCTGCTGGGAAGAAGAGAACGCTGTCAAGAATTCTTGTTCTATGTTGGATAAAGCAGTCTTGGAGGGAGATCCCACAGGAGATGCTAAGGAAATCATTTCTTACTTGCGGCATCTCCAATGTGCTTGACGGCACGGAGGATGACGCCATCTATAAGGAAGAGCCAAAAATTCACGCCGAAGAAGATGAGATGAATGAAGAATTTGATGCGGAAAGCAAAGATGAGCTATAAGCTGACATTAACTCGATTGTGCAGTCCTCAACGAAAAACAAATGGCTCCTTTAGGAGCCACCACATATTAAAAATTATCTTAGTTTTATTAAGTCCACAATTTTTGTTTAGGTTAAACTCTCAGCTAAAAGCCGAATCCCCCTCTACATTTCAGATTTAATTCAAGTTAGGGTAAACTTGTCTTGCTTATAGCCAATAGTTAAACATGCACCAGATGAAGACAGAAGTAATTCGTAATTAAACAACATCCTAATGACTAGAAAGTTTAACTGTACCTTGATTTTCTCGCTCGCAGACAAACACCCTCTTCCCGTCTGATGGACTTCAATGCCAAAATTAAGTCCTTAGTGTGAAATTGGGACTCAAATCTCATCATTCTTTAAACACAAACTGAACACTTTACATTTAGGAAAGTAATTTTTCAGTGTAGCATCATACGATTGAAAAGTATTTTTAATGATACCTTTATGCAACAAACTCTGTATATATTCCTTCACAATAAGAATTTTCAAAGAAAATTCCAATAGAGCTTTCTGAGATGTCCCCATTATGTAAAGTAGCAGATACCACAACTCTCTATAGCCCTCACCGGAGCAGGGTTGGCGTAGTTGTGAGAGCACTCGCCTTTCACCAATGTGGCCCAGGATCAATTCCCGGACTAGACGTCATATGAGGGTCGAGTTAGTTGGTTATAATCTGCTCCGAGAGGATTTTCCCCTCTCATCATAAACCAACATTTGATTTGATTGATTTGTTGTAGTCTCCGCCATCAGCAGAGCACATGCATTCGGCTTAGCGATTTATTATCATTATTATAACATTTACTTTTATGTGCAAAGAAATTCAGAAAATTCAGAAAATAACCTCAGGGGATTATATTTTTCAAAGGACCATTTTACTGGCTTATTTTTGGCATGGCTTATCTTCGGAGGGGCTTACATACGGAGGGAAATTTGCGTTTAAAAATCGGCTAGGCTAGCTTATACTTGGAAGGAAATTTATGTCAGTAATCTGCGCGAAGTTTTTACTGAAACTTGCGTGAGGTCTATGACACACGAGGTCGTATAGAGTGTTTTCACATGACGTCACAGCGGCCATATTGGTGTCCCAAAACAATGAAACGGCGGCCATGTTGGTGTCCCAAATCAATCCTCTGGGAGTTGAACTTTTTTCTTATGCAAACGCTTTCTTTTCTTCCAATAAATTAGCATAGATGCTGGCCACGTGAGTGAAAACACTCTATATCTTATTTTTAAAACTCAGCATAAAAATACAATGGCGAATTACTTTATTGAAACGCAATACTCAATTCAAAGGTAAGGTAACGTCAATAATAACTGATTACACGAAAAAAAATGAAGCTTAACAGGTCAGACTTGTCGCCAACAGTATCAACAGCTTCCTCTGCATCGGTCAGTTCAAAATTCCCCTACCACATCTGATGTGTCCATGGGCTCATATTCGGAGGGGTTTCTGTGTTACAAGTTTGGGGGACTTATATTTGATGTACGTGACCTTTGGTCTTTTGTCTGTCCTTCGGAAACAATAAGTGTATAATTCCCACGTAAAACAATCAGCACTCCTTGACCAGATTCTGGACAAATCTATGTCAGCAGTATGGAATTTTCCATTCACTCGAATATGCTCCCCTTCCATTTTCTAAAGTTGTGCCTTTAAGGTGATTCCCTTGTTTTGAACTGCGCAACCTCTTCTGCACATAACATTGCGACATTCAAGATGGCGGCAGTTCTTCTCGCGTTAGCGAACAAGGGCCGCTTTTGTGGAGCTAAACCCTTCATTCGTAATAATAATGCTGCAAATCGGCTGACAGCTTCCTGGTCAGGGATCGAAAAAGAAGAAAATGAAAAAAATGTGCCTGATCCGGAAGTCCACAGTGAATTTTCACTTCGCGGCCGTCGAGTTGTAGAATTAAATGTCCTCGCTGAGGCTTTGGATGGGGGCTGTGAAGCCTGTGGGGCAGTTCTACGGCTCTCTGACTGCATAAAAGAAACACTGTCTGGGCTAGGATCACTACTCTACGTGTGCTGTTCGAATTCCGAGTGTGGAGAGACAAATATCTGTCGAACAAATAAGACCCACTGTAGCACCGGAACAACGCGAGGGAGACCGACATTTGATGTAAACACGAAGCTCGCTGCCGGTTTGTTTACTTTTAATGTTGTTAAAAATGTTGTTTTCCACAATTAAAGCATCCATTTAACATCTAGCCAATTTTTTAATAAGTTGAATCGACGTATTCATAGGAATGCTACACGCAGGCATAGGTCCTACCCACGTAAACGAGTTGTTGTCATGTATCAATGTACCATCAGTTGGAGAGTCACGCTGAAGGCTCGCGAGAGGGAAGTAGGGTCGCAAATTGAAAAGTTGGCAAAGGAATCATCGCTGGAAAGTTTAGAAAGCGAAAGAAACCTGTGGAAAGAGGATAGTGAAAAGGAAAATGTGGCGATAGGAGCGTCATATGACATGGGATGGCAAAAAAGGGGAAAAGCCCACAACAGCCTGACAGGTACACTGTAAATTCTACATCTGAAAAAATTGAAAAGGGTACATTTGGATATGCATTTTCATAGAATGCTTCTATTTTTTCTCCCGATTGTTCTTTAGCTTACTGACAGTTTTCGTGTCCTGGCCAATAGTCAAAGTTAATTAAATTAATAAGAAATAAATAAATAAAATATATCCTTATTTTCACCACTAGGTGTTGGCTCCATGGTTGGTCTAAAAACTGGCAAGGTGATTTGCTATGGTTCTAGGTCGAAAAGGTAATGTATATACATATATTTTGTCTACTAGGACCTCATTGTAATCAACAAGAGCAAAGTTTTTTTTTTCAATTTGACCACAAAAAGTACAAAATTATTCAACAAATGATAACTCCTATATTTGCCTCCTCTTGAAAGTGTTACCCAGGACCTTTACTCATGTCTTTTGTAAAGGTGTGCAACATGTGAAGCTGCTAGCAGACAGTCAAAAACGCCTCGCATACACGACTGCAGGGTCAACTGCGACGGCTCGTCAAAAGCTATGGAAGCTGATGTTTGTGTTGATCTAGTCAAAAGGTAATTACTAACCGATATGCAATGATAAAAATAACAAATAAAATAATAATAATAGTAACAATAATAATAATAATAGTTGTTAAAATGTTAAATTCACAGTTTTATTGCTGCAAAGAGAGACTTGTGGAATCTGTTCTTATGATATCAGTTTTACAGTGATGACAACCTTACACCCTTGGTAATAATGATTGAAAATTTGACAATAAAGTAAACAGGAAAATGCACTTTTATTTTTGAACATGAGTATGTTGAAAATGCAGGAAAGAAAATGCTTTAAAATAATGTCTAGGTGTAGTTTGAATGCCCTCATTTTTTAAGACACAAAATGTTAATTTTGTGGTTTTACTCTACTTAACAGTTGTGGGGAAAAAATGCAGTTGTATCTGTTCTTGTTGGGGATGATGATTCGTCCACCTTAAGCAAAGTGAGGCAAAATGTTGAGCATGAGGTTGAAAAATGGTCAGACGTAGTCCATGCTAAAAGATCCTTTGGTAGCTCACTATACAGCATCAAGAACCAAAACAAAAGCCTGACAGATATGGTGATACGGTATTTCCAGCGATGCTTCGGTTATGCACTAAAGCAGAATAAGGATGATGAAGAAGGTTTACGAAATGGTCTGAAGTCTATTGTGCCCCATGCATATGGTGACCATTCTTCCTGTGGCAACTGGTGTGGCTACTTAAAAAATCCTGCATCCTACAAACACAGAGGCCTTCCCCATGGCAAGGATCTGACAGACAGAGGCTTACTTCTATGATCTTTTCCAGGGACTGCCTCAAGTACAATGTGGATGTATGGTGGCACACCTCGCTCCTCACAAATTCCCAATTTCCACCATTTTAGTAGAGGAATACACCTGTAAGAAAATAGTGTTAGTGCTCATGATTGTGTTCTAAATAAGGATGATTGCATTCTAAATAATAACTGCAAGGGAAAAAGCTATAAGTGTTAAAGGACTATCAACCTCTCTTAGTTTCACAAGCTTTATAGGATACCAAATTTTAGTGAATAAAAACCATTTGCTTCTTCAGTTTAGGTTTATGCTTCAAATGCCAAGAAACTAGCTCCCCTTGGATCAAGCCAGGCAAATGAAGCGCTCAACAACACTATAGGAAGCAAAGCTCCAAAGATCAGACACTACGGATCTAGTGAAAGCAATGACTTTCGTGTTGCATGTGCTGTTGGCCAAAAGAACTTAGGCCATTCTTATGTTTCTCAAGTGAGAAGATATAATATTATGAGCATTTTCACACTCCCCAATTTGTGAGATCCATTGAACATTGCACATTATTATAATATTGTTTTGGCTAAGACAGGTGAATTTCTTTTAGGCTTTTATGAAGACTCAACTATCTCCAGGTTCCAATTCTTTAAAGTTTGCAAAGAAAATGGACAAGAGAATTCTGAGTTTGAAAGAGAAACAGAAAACAAAAGAGTACAAGAAGAGAAGAATTGAGAAGAAAGAGAAGCGGTTGAAAAAGACAAAACAGCTTGAGAACAGAGAAGGACAACAGTATAGTTCAGGAATGGGCTTTGATGGAGACGATGCCACTCAGGAAATTCCAGCACCACCTGCAGCCTCAAAGACTGAGAGAGTATCATTAACCAAAGACTACCATCAAATCATATTTGGTTTGGAAACATCTGGAAGGGGTAATTAGCTTTGCAGGGTGGAGTGAAGCAAAAAAGTAACAATATAACCTGGGTTGTCTTAGCAGGGTGTTTATGAATTCCACATTAGAGAATAATATATTTGATAATAATTAATATATAGATTTAGCCAGGGCTAAAAGCGAAGCTCCAATTAATAAATTAATAATTTAAATCAAAAAATTAACTTTTAATCCACATATCACTTAACTTAAGGAGCTTTAAGAGAACATTCATGTGATTTTTGAGGGAAAGGCTAAGTTATTTTAGAATGAAACATCTTACATCGACTTGATAACCTTATATGTACACCCAAAAAAATAGCAAACATCTTCGATCACATTCAAGATCACAGTAGATTAGGCCTCGAAAACAAATTCTTGGAAAACAAATCACGCCAATTTTTTTTGCGTTCGACAGGTTTACTTTACAAATTCTTGCCAACAAATCTGGGATGTTTAAATCAACGTTTTATAATTTTTATACATCACGTTTGAGGTGAAACAGTACTATTTACCATATACACCTAGGACAGAATGCGGTATTTCACAATTGTTCAAGACAAATTGCACTCAGTCAATATTCAGGGCGATCAATCGTGGGCTTTAACCGAAACCGTTCAAAAATTTCCAAAATCATCCATACGGCCAGCTGGTTCTCGTTTCTATAGTGCGAGCTGTCAGTGTGGTTGAGTTTTTGAATGAACTTTAAGAGAGTTACACTTCCACATAATAGCGAATTTATCATTATTTGTTTTGTTATTTAATGGTTTCAGTGATAACGATGAGTAATCTTATAAAGCGTTTGATATGCGGGACATTTTTTAGTACTCCTGCAAGCGATGGTCATGAACGATGAAACCAAACGGCACGAACAAGCGATTAAAATTGCAAGAGAGATTACTAATGATCAAAAAAAGAGATATAATTCCGTGAAACATTTACAGACACAACAATTTTCATTCACGAAGACAAGTATTAAAGTGTCTCTAAAAACCCTGAGTCTTTAAGCGTAAAGCTAAGCCTGCTTCCCGGCGCGGTGTTTACTGTTTTCGAAGAAAAACTCCTTGAAGCAAGAAAATCGCTTAAAGTTTTCTTTCTTCAGCCAAATTTATAACTAAACATTCTTCGGAAAGTTTTCTTTCTATTTGTGGTGAGCAAATATATCTGAAGGCTTTTTAACGTTCTGTAAGCTTATATCAAACCTGATACTAGGTCAGATCATTGACTCAAATCCTACAAACGTGCATAAACTTGCCTCATAAACTGTCAGCGTGAACTATGCAAGACTTCAAAAACAAACATCAAATACAACAATTACTTAGGCTTACCATTCGAGATTCAGTTCCTGAAAGCTATCAAGGAAGGCCACGGTTGCTTGAGACTTTTAAACCCTCTTACGCATTAAGCAAGGTGAAAAACGAAAACGATGCCATCCGAAATCGAATTACCGAATTTTGACAAGCGACGCATTTCTCAACCAAAAACCCAGTAAACAAACCAGCCATGAATAACAGAAGACTCTTGATAGCAGCTGTATTTCATTTTGTACATCCAGAGGGAAAAAAAACGTTAAAAACATCACAAGTTGACACAAAACTCTGTCAGCTTCAGCTGTCAAAGTAAACAACTTTCAAGATGCTGCATAATTTTTCCGCATGAACTCACCTGTCAAATTGTGACCAATCGAAGTATAAAAATTGAACGTAGAGCGTGACCAACGCGTGACCATGGTAAGATAAGTCTTCCCCGCCTGTACCTTTAAAAAAACTGGATGAATTTTCCCTTCCGAGGTCAGTTTGAAATCAAAATCCTAATAGTGCAGGGCCAAAGTGACATAAACACAACATATTTGATATGAATCCTTGGAAAAAATAAACTTGAGCCTACGATCATTTCAAACTGGTAATTTGTCAGCGGATAACTTTAAAAAATACTAGACTTCGATGGGTCGACACTTGAGCCCGCGCTACGGTCAGGTGATACTGGTCAGCGGATGCCCTGTTTTGATAGCTTTCAATTGATCACAACGTTGATGTGCAATTAGTTTTCTCCTGGGCTCCCAAACTTGCTAAAAGTGTGAGAGTAAACATTGGTTTTCCTGTGGTGCGGACGGACGGTTGGCGGGCGGTCGGTCGGTGTACGGTCATGTGATTACCAAATTTTCTGGGATGGGTAGATTTACTTAGCTATGGGATTGCTTTTCTATTTTGCTAAATTGCTGAATACCTGTCCTGCTAATTTGCATCACATATAATTAGATTCCTTTGTTTTATCATGCCTTATTCTTAAAGAAAATAGGTGAGATGCAAATTAGCTGGACAGGTATTCAGTAATCGCTCCTTCTGTTTTTATTTCAGATATACCCTGCATAAATGCACTAAGCTTTTTTGTTACATTTTTCCTTAAATATCTTTGTAAAGTAATAATTGGATTACAATACCTTAAAATGGGTTTATCTTTGTTGACATCAGGTAATGATGCTGAAATCCTACAAATTGCAGCAACAGATGGTAAAGATGAGTTCTCTATTTATGTCAAGCCTTGTTATACAATATCACCAGAAGCATCTGCTGTG